AGTATGATACCAGCGAGAAGTTTAGATACAATGTTGATTAAACTAATTCCTCTGTGGTTTTCACAGGAGGATCTGTCACCTTTCTTGGACATCGGTATGATTACCGATTCACACCATTCACTTGGAACCTCTTCTCTCTCCCACACAGAACCCAGGAGTTTTGTTAACTCCAAAACCAAGGCTGGACCTCCATCCTTAAAAACAGATGGAGACAGCCCGTTGGAGCCGGAAGCCTTATGCCGTTTGATTTAACTTATTTCCCGGGTAAACTCCATTTCAGTCATATCACTCAATATTTCTAACCACCGATGACCATGATCTCGGGATCCCAATACAGAGATCCCAATGGTACCTGTGTGATTCAGTCTTCTGATAGGATTGGGATACAGTAGATAACACGAATATTAACAAAAATATTTGTGTATTTCACAGTACACTTTTCGATATTTTGTGTTGGTTTTTTTTTGCTGGGCACGGGATTTCAAAAGGCAGATTGTACATCATTTGCGCCACTGACTTCTATTCTAGGCCATATCTCTCAGCGTCTCTAACAAACGACAATACTCATCACTTGGGTCCCAACCCGGAAGGCGGGCTGCACCGAACGAAGCCAAAGCTGAAGTTAGCTTCTTCATACTTCTACACCATGTCATGATCTGACAACAACTGATCAAGTTAGGAGTTGGATTGCAATATCTTAGTTCATAAAATACAAGATAGGCGGACAGCAGATACCGCTCGATCGTTGCCAACCTCAGAGACCTGAAATGTTCCCGAAGAAAAGATTTCATAGAACACAAATCTAAAAATAGCAGCTAAAGCTGACTATTTATCTTCCTACGAATAGATCATCATATCGTTTAAAGTGTTCTGTCTAGTAAGGTGATACTTTTTCCTTTAAGGGTTAGGTTTCGATTCCTCCTCAACTGAAGTATTTACACTATAATAAGTACAAGTTCTGCTTATACCATTTGCAGAAAATGACTTTCAATCCCAATATCTTATTTCATCAACAACAACAATCTCATTAAACTTGACGTTTAAACGCAAAGGTTATAGAACGTCAAATATTGATGGCTTTCAGCCGAACAACAGTAAAGCTACCTTTCACCAAGATCCCATTTATCTACCATTTTCCCGTGTTTAACTGTTTCTCCATCTTTTCACTTTGTTCTGTATCCCAATCCATCTGCCCCCTGTAATTGTTATTGTTATTATTGTTGTGGCGTTGGCACCATGCTTGTATACAAACCGGTGTTATATATATATATACCAACATCCGTTGATGAAATCAGTGTTCGAACCCAGAATCTTAAGACCTGGAACACACCTCTGACAACGGCTTGAACGGTTGGATGAATGCCTCCACCATTATTATTATCATTATTATCACTTTATATCCAGTCAAATAAAACATGTTGCAAGCTTTTAGTATGACTTTTTGAATAATAAACATCGCACTGTCAGGTCAGATTTTTCATAGCTAACTTTCGGCTACAAACCTGATGGATTATTAGAAAACGAGTAAAACTATGAGTTTAAAACTAAGAACAATATCAAAATAAACATGCATAAAACAAGTGAACTAGATCTGTACATACTTTTTACGATAACTAGTGTCTATAACAATGGACTAAAATGATCCCGAGGTATCCATCCAGAAAGCTCAATGCAATCCATGTGAGCAACTCTCCTAGTCAGGAATTTTATACCTTCATGCTAGGTCTTAATTTGATCCTCGGACTTTTTTGGACAAACGTCATCTTCCTCAGCAAACAGGGGCAATCTATTTGGTGACATGTGCCCCAAACAACGCAGTATGTGGAGTTCAACTACTCGCTCCAGTGGGTCACCGTGACAACCTAAAACTGTACCTAACCTTGGCCTTATAGGTCCGGCTTTCCCGCAAGAAATGTGCAATGCGGCGTGGGCAGAGGTCTTTGAACAACGACAGTTTATCTTTTTCTTGTTTTCACCGTGATCAAGTCCCTGTGCCGTTTAGCAAAACTACTGTACCACAGCCGGGTCTTGGAACGGTGCCACAGATGTCTTATGTTTTCAAATGCTAATCGAGCCTTCTGTATGCTTGCCAACATTTCATCCAATAATCATCCGCCAGGTGAGATGTAGC